CAACAATACTTCCTGACTGCAGTTCAATTACTCACTACCTACACACATTATTGTCCCGTCACGTTGTCACCCTCTTATATATACCAGACTACCCTATATCTAGTAATCTCCCGACAATTCACGAAGGTACAAGATATTTCTAGAAAGCGTCACGCTAGTCACGTGACCTCGCTGACGCAACAGATTGTTAAATACATTTCACCCAACAATGGATGAACTAAGATGCCAGACGTTATGAACAAAAACATTGAAAAACTAATATAATTCGTTTGATTACATTAGTTGAATGTTGGAATATTTGAACAATATTATACAAAATATTTTCTAAAAATTATAACTTAATGTATGTCTGCACAGAGAGACATAATGTTTTTCTATTATTTTCTTATATTTTTTTCTTTTAATCCTTCTTCGAAACATTTTTCAATCGCCTGCCACTCCTTCATTTCTTGGTGGATTGGCTTAAAACTTTGTAGTGTTATACCTTGGTCCAAAATGCACAGACACCTTTGTAATTTTTGATTTAGGGCGTTTTAAGGATTTTGTGAGGTCAAACAACCCAAAATAAAAATTTTGGGTTTTAAGATGAAAATTTGCCGAAATATAAATTTTCATGAGCCCAACTTGTTGACATACATAAAAGTTGGATTTGCTTATTTTTAGGGGCTCACAAAAAAAAGTATAATTTTGGGGGTATTCGGCCTTATTTTGAACAATTTACATGGCATATGGTACAAAGATACTTTTCTACAGGTCTCACACACTGACAAATAAAATGGTGAATTTTTCCCATTCTGAGTGAACATAGCAGGGTCAGGATGTCACAAAAGAAAAGCATAATTAATATTAAAGTTTTCTTCCTTACTAGTTTAAGTTGTCTCCAAATTTTGTTAATCATAGGATTTACTGGGATATCTCAGAGGATTACGCAACGCTTTAAAACCTAAAAAATGATAATTTGTAAACTACTGTACTACAAAAACTACGTACATACAAAACAATAATAATTCGAACTTACATTCTTCTGCCATTAAATACGTACAAGTCAGAAACTTAGAAATATTATTCCACTGTTATTAAAAATGGGTTTTGTTACAAGCAATATTGCACATCATTTGACTTCTCTCACTCTCTCAAAAACTTAATTTTTTCACTAACTACAGTAAATGATACATAATAATAAAGATATTATTACAAGCTAAGTGATGGCAACAAGTGTATGTTCTATAAATTAGATTTAATTTATTGTTTTGAAAATTGTGACATTTGAAATTTCAGAAGATTAAAGACATTGTTATAAAACATATAAACTTGAATATGAAGAAAAAATTGTAAATGGTTTTGTATACAAAGTAGAACACCAAGAGAAGAGACAGAGAAGTATCGCAGTGCCATCTAGTAAGTTAGAAGTATATTACTTGCCTTTTTTTCATATTAATACCTTTTTGTATCGAGACAGTTACAGTGTCGTTTAAGTAAGTTAAATAACTGTTGCATCAAAGCGTTACTTGAATTTAATTTGTGAATATAATGAACTGATCTTTCAAAGTTCATGTTGTGCTGGAAAAGGAAATGTACATTACATATGTCACAGTTGTAGTTGAAAGACGAAAGTGTCAAGGGAAAAAATATCTGTGAAAAAGAAATATATCGTAAATTATTAAATAAACTTAACTCTTTATTGTAATGGTCATTAAAGTTTCCCCATGTAGAACATACGAAGCTACCACCAGGAAACATACATTTAACTCTTTGATCTCATGTAGAACATACGAAGCTTCCACCAGGAAACATACATTTAACTCTTTGATCTCATGTAGACCATACGAAGCTTCCACCAGGAAACATACATTTAACTCTTTGATCTCATGTAGAACATACGAAGCTACCACCAGCAAACATACATTTAACTCTTTGATCTCATGTAGAACATACGAAGCTACCACCAGCAAACATACATTTAACTCTTTGATCTCATGTAGAACACACGAAGCTTCCACCAGGAAACATACATTTAACTCTTTGATCTCATGTAGAAAAATAAGAAGCTTCCATTTCAAGTTGTTTTATTTATTTGGAAATGAGCTTAAAGAAGTAATATCAATGAAACAAAAGCTCTTTTTTATGCTCTGTTATAATATTTCTGCACAAAATATACTCGATAAATAAATATAGCATATCTGTACTTATACGTGATGTGTATATATTATTTCTAGGAAAAAATATAATAAAAAATAGTAATGGTTTTCTACAGTGTTTATGACACATAATTCTGAATAGATCTAGGCTTATTGTGGAAGTAAAGTAAATATCTGATATACATTTATAATTTTGGCATTTTTATGCTTTGGATATAAAGTATAGTGTTCGTTTGTTGGAATTTATCACGTTTTTGTCCACGTATGTGTATAACATTGACCAGATTTCAACAACCGCCAGAATGACTAGAATAACACTTTAGTTTATTTGTTGTTAAGCAGAAATGTTCACAATTATCTGTGCTGCGTCCATGTCAGAGATCGAAACTTGAAATTTAGTTCAAGCATACTACTGAGTCACTAGGGTCTAACGATTTGGCAAAATAAGTTGAAGAAAGAAAGAAAAAATACTACTTTACGCGGAATACGATGTATTTGTGCAAAAATATACGGATAAGTTGAAGTAATATTACGGGCATATTCTTTGATTTTCACGGGTAAGTTGAAGTAATATTACGGGCATATTCTTTGATTTTCACGGGTAAGTTGAAGTAATATTACGGGCATATTCTTTGATTTTCACGGGTAAGTTGAAGTAATATTACGGGCATATTCTTTGATTTTCACGGGTAAGTTGAAGTAATGTGACGGACATGTTTCTTGCTTTTCACGGGTAAGTTGAAGTAATGTGACGGACATATTCTTTGATTTTCACGGGTAAGTTGAAGTAATGTGACGGACATGTTTCTTGCTTTCCTCCTTCGGTCATTAAACTTCTTCTTTTTCTCTGAGATTTAAATAGTTGATTAAGCT